TCTCTCTCTCTCTCTCTCTCTCTCTCTCTCTCTCTCTGTGTGTGTGTGTGTGTGTGTGTGTGTGTGTGTGTGTCACACACACACACACCAACTCTCGGAGTTCAACCTCCTGATGAGTCGGTGAAAGCTGACGAGTCGGTGAAAGTCAGACGAAACAGTCTGGCACAGTCATGGCTTTTTTGTATGTATTGCAGGTGTATACCGAATATGACAACACACACACACCAAGAAAAAAAAGGAAAAAAGAAAAAGGCCCCGGTAGCACCTATCCCAGGACCAGGGGAACAGTCATTACTGCCAGCAACTGCCAGAAGGGCATACCGAAACGGGGCATATGGAATATTCTTGCACCTATCGCAGGACCAGGGGAACAGTCATTACTGCCAGCAACTGCCAGAAGGGCATACTGACGGGGCATATGGAAAATTCTTGCACCTATCCCAGGACCAGGGGAACAGTCATTACTGCCAGCAACTGCCAGAATGGCATACCGAAACGGGGCATATGGAAAATTCTTGTGCCTGTACTGAACGACTATCCAGTAGGGGCAAACTGGAAATTTCGGCAACAGTACTGGAAGGGGCATGTTGAACCTGTCTCACGCCCAAAAGACGCCAGGGGCTCATCACCGGTAAGCCAAAAGAGCAGGTAAGAAGAGGTGCGGGGGGTACCGGAGCGCTCCAGCGACGCCGCAAATTTTGCGCTGCGTCTGCGCTGCTGCGCTGCTTTGCGTTCACTGTGGTAACCTAACTTTTACCATAGCCAGCCTACCTTTCTCTCCCGGCGAGGAGACAAGGGGCAGCATTGCCTTCCATACTCTCCAGGGCGTGCTCTCTCCGCTCTAGAGCGAAGGAATGTGAGGCGGCCGGTTACCCCATCCTTCTTCCTTCGATTCACAGCACAAACAAGTCAGGAACAGTCATGCCAAGGTTCTCGCTCAGTAATAAACAGCCACTACCAGCGAAGCGCTGTGTCACGGCGCTCCGCTACAGCACAGGTCAGTCGGCCCTTTGCTTCCTTTGAGTTCGCCTACGGTATTCCGTTCAGAGCTTTACTCGGAGGAGCGGATCGTGCACCGTCGGAACGGAGGTAAATCTCTCAGTCCCCCTTTGGCCTTCTGGATAAGCCGGGTTTTCCTCTTCCTAATTCTCTCCCTAACTTGCTACTCTTTCTCTTGACTGAATCTGTCCCTTACCTCCACTTCCCTTCCATCTCGACCGCCTCTTTTGCTCCTAGAGTCGGGGTGATCGCCTTCTATTTTATTTCCTATCCCTTGTTGCTTGTTCCCTCGGCCGCCCTTTTGTATCTGAGCGAAAGATTGAATTTTCCCCAGCCTACCCTCACTCTCACAGCGTGCCCTCACTGCGCCTCTTGTGAGTAAATTGTCGTTCCCTAAACTTTGCTCTTTTTCAGACCGGAAAGCGATTCTACCTCCTGTATTCCTTTTTAGGGAAGTCGCCCTCCATAATAATTCACTCCTTTTTTTTTCTTTTTTTTTTATCAAAGTCTACCTCCACCGCTATTCGTTGGCATTGGGTAATGATTGTCTGATTGATTGATTGATTGATTGATTGATTGATTAATTGATTGATTGATTGATTGATTGATTGATTGATTGATT